AAGATATTAAAATTCAGATGTCACCCACCTAGTACCTCATTTTCAGTACGCATACTAGGGTTCTAAAAAGGACATGCTAATTTTTAGTATATTGCCCTCCAACAGAGCTCCCCGCGTGGACCTCGATCCAAGCTTCTGTAGATCCACGAATCATCCCCGATTTGGGTTACATACATACTCAAAAGAGATACTTCCAACGTGGACTAATCACTCCAAAGTTACGGTCTCGTCTGAACATCGTCTAAGAGTGTGTTGATCGAAAATGACTTTGTACATTAGTGCCCCTATTCAAAATGTATCTGGGTAAACAGCGCGTCCGAGTCGCGGACTCTGATAGTAAACACAATAGCCTTCGCTCAGGCTTTCAAATGCTCCCCCGCGACCGCGTGGGTCGACGAACGCTTGGTCATTATGCTCCGCCTATAGTCGGGGGCATGAACAGCTGATGCGCCCGGGTCGTCGGACTGCGCAAACTAGGGGTCAGTGGGCGGAACCGGGCTTAAGGACTTGACTTACTTCGCGCCTTTGGTGGTCATGCACCGGAAGGAAATTTATGTTGCTCTCCTGTGTATAAATAGTCAATTTCCTTCTTTAGACGGCGATCCCTAGGTTCAACGCACCGCGTTCTCTTCGGATCCTTCAGAGTCACTGAGAAGATGACGTCTTTTCAAATTGTTTGTCGGCCATCCCAACGCGTGCTTCGCGTCAACCTGCTTCAAGGAGTAATTTAGTTGAATTGCGTTTCACGAGTGCATGTGACTGGACTCACGCGATATGAAACCGAGTTCTCGAGGCGTTCTGGGGACTTGTAATACCTTAAGAGCGAGACCAGGTGTTCGTGGGGTCGAATGACGGCATTTACGAATCCAACCTCGACGGCTTTGGAAAACGCCGCGAAAGAAAACTCCAAACGCGTCTGCGATCCCGATGTCCGCCCACCCGAAGAGCGCAAATCGATCACACCTAGGCTGTCAGATAGGTATATTGGGTACGGATAGATCACCCGCTAGCTTCGTGTCAGCAACGGGGCGTTTGGCGGGAAGCGCATTACTTACCGGAGGTACAGGACGACCAAGAGTGCCATGAGATAATAAGCCAATGGACGCTACGATAGTGAGAACTCCCAGAGTGCGCATGTTCGACGTGTGGTGTGTTAAGGAATGTGAGAGGGGTGAAGGCTGCAAGGAAGCGGATCTTGACTAGATATCTGGGATAGGAGCGCGCCAAGCTTCCATATAGGAGTCACGTTGTCGGTGTTTGTTGGTTTCGAAGCTGCGATCCACCAACAACTTACCAGATATGGGCTGCACCTGGGGCCGACTCCTATCTGCGCTCCGGGGGTCGATGGCCCCCGCCCCCTTTACGAGCCCCCTACGCGATATATAAACTCCAGCGGGGGCCTCTTCGTCCTCATCCTCTCCACCACCCCACTGTCGCCTCCCTCGACAGTACTCCCGCTTACGACCTCTGACGTGCCACACCTACCCTCGTCGTTCACTCGTTCATTCTATACTCCAGCTTTACTTTAACTGTATCTCTGATCATCGACCATGCGTACCTCTGCGTCGTTTGTGGGTCTTGTTACCCTGATGGCGGTCGTAGGCACCACCGCGGCCCCCACCGGAGCCAACCGTGCTGTTACCAGTAGCGGTCCCCAGCCCAGTCGTAGCGGTGTACCCGTACCCGTCCCAACCCCCAAGGTTAGCGCGCATACATCCAGTTTCTACGTTGCGTGCTAACACCACCACAGCTTCCGGGTCGTGCGATCCCCGACCCCGACGTTAACACTTGCGATTGCAATCCAGTTTCACCTGGTGACATCAAGGCCATCACCTTTGACTTCGAGTGAGTTATCCGTACCGTGGATTGCCCAGTACTTGCTGACTTTTGGTTGTATAGTGGCAAGGTGAAGGACGTGGCCAAGGATGGGCAAGGGATCGTTCCGGACGCTGACGCCCACTTCGACACTGACATGAACAAGTTGCAGCCTGAATCACACCCGGAGCCTCAATCCCAGCCTCAACCGCAACCGCAACCGCAGTCGCAACCCCAGCCACAACCCCAGACGCAGTCGCAGTCGCAGTCCGAACCTCAACCATCCAACGAGCCAGAAGGGCACTCACCCGTGAACGCTGGCGACTGCCCTGACCGTAGCAAGTACGTCCCACATCTCCTTAACACACAGGCCCCTCTTGACATACGATTTTAGGCTTGGCAGCGAAGGGTTCAAGGCTTGTGCGACGTTTAACCCCGACGACGGGAAGGAGTGTTTTGATACGATCCATCACGACGCTTACAAGGCCGGGGATGAATTCAAGGCGGCAGCTAATGTAGCCTTCGACTATGTGCATCAAGTCGACGACAAGTCCATGAATGTCCCCCACGATGTTGAGAAGGGGGCTTACTTTGTGGGAAAGATGGACGCGGGTATTAGCTATGACGCTATGAAGCCAACCGAAGGCACTTACATGTTCGTCTTGTTCATTTTAGAAATGATGCCTACTTACCTTTTCGTTTATAGGCCGGCTATCGCTGCTGCGAAGGGGGATGCTGAGGGAACCTACGTTATCAAAGGTATTTGTTTCGACTCTCCCAAAACTAGGTGTTTGACGAGAACCCTAGATATTTAGCGTGACATTACCACTGCCCGTAGTTTCGTCTCTCTTATCGTCCCTAATCGTCCCTAATTGGTTTGCCTGAGTGTTTTGTGTCTGCTCGATGTCATTAGAGATACAAACGTCATTCATTAAGTTGGTTGCGTCATTGGTAGCAGCGCAAGGTCAGATAGATTTATCAGATGTACACGGAACACGACGGCAACTAGGTAACTCATGTTTACCGCTCCTCGACGTTGTTGAG